CCCGAGCGCACCCAACATTCCTAGAATTGGTCACGCGCCATCCCATTTTGCCGTCCGAAGTATCCGTTTTTTCACCGTCTTTTTCCTCGTCGTCGTCGTCGTCGTCGTCGTCGTCGTCGTAGCCGTCTTCTTCGGTTTCATGCCCATGCCGATCTTAGTCTTGACGTTCATCGCTGCCCAGACGGCAACAGCGGTGGCTCTCACGCTCAGAGCCGAATCTCTCGCGATGACGCGTCCTAATGCTTTATCGGCGAGTACCTTATCCGCCGCGTGTCTATCGGTGAGATCGTTGCTGTACGAATACGTTATGTCGCGACACGCCGCGTCCAGCGAATTTATACCCTTATCACCTGTGGCTATTCGCTTCCTCAGCCGTGTGCTCGGACCGCAAAACTGATAGCTCGGAATATGTACTCGAAAGGAAACCCATTTATCGCTCGATTCAACAGACTACCGCGCGACGCCGACATTCGCTGCAGTCCCTTATCTTCGGTGCGAGACCGTCGATGTGCGTTCGCTGCCACGGCTGATTGTAGTGCTCGTCGCAGCGATGATAGGTTCGAACCTCCGAATCCGTCTTCACGTGTTCAGGAAGCTTGTCCCACTCGTGGTCGATATAGTCGCCGTACACGCATAACAGTACGACCTTTGGTATATACTGCAACTGCTCGGCGCTCAAGTCTCGAATATCGAAAGGATGATAGCGCGAGATACATTTTGATACTGCGCGATTTGCGAGTTGGCGCACCTTTAAATATGCGGTCGAGGACGCGTAGCCCGTAGTGCGAACATGAAATTCGTGCGGAAACCGCTGACGATACGCGTCACGAACTGCGACGCGAAATCGCGAATGATGGGAGGCAGCGTGGAGAAGCGCAAGCACGGCGAAATGCTGCCGAGTACTATACGCGCGATGTGCGGCCCGTCGAATTGCGGTAAAACCAACGTCCTCATAAGCTTGCTCGAGAGCCCGAACGGCGTACGTTTCGAGAACGTGTACGTCTACTCGAAACCGTTGCAACAGCCAAGGTATCGATATCTCGAAAATTTGTTGACGTCTATCGACGAAATCGGTTACTTTACGTTTTCCAACAACAGCGACGTCGTTCAACTGAGCGAAGCGCATCTAAGTTCTATTTTTATCTTTGATGACGTAGCATGCGACAAGCAGGATGCGGTGAGAGAATATTTCTCGATGGGTCACCACGCCGATGTCGACTACTTCTATCTCTGTCAGACGTACGCGAGGATACCTAAACATCTGATACGCGACAACGCGAACCTGCTGATCCTGTTCAAACAGGACGGTACCAACTTGAAACACGTTTACAACGATCACGTGAATACCGACAAGTCGTACGATGAATTTTGCTTGTTGTGTCGCGACTGTTGGCGACAAAAGTATGGATTCCTAGTAATAGACAAGGATAGTGCGCTTAAAGATGGGAGATACAAAAAAGGATTTAACGAGTTCGCGATACCGTAACGCGGTCAGTCGTTGTCGATACTTCGCCAGAGACGAACATGGCTGATGTGTGCGAGCGTGAAAAAATCGTGAGGGAGATCCAGAAGACGAGCGAGTCGATCCGCAAGAAACATCGCGCTCTGAAGACCGGTAAAATCGAAGAGAGCATGGAGTTGGGCAGGCATTTTAAACCTATTATCAAACCGCTGCGACAGATCGTTGACAGCCCTGGCTTGCACGCGATAAAGAGAGAGTCGCGCGACGATGATGCAGCGTCTGCCCCCAAGCGCGAGAGGAAGGAGGAGGAGGAGGAAGAAGAGGAAGCGAGCGAGACGTTCGAACGTTCCGCAACTCTGCGTATATCCGATGATCGGTCGCACGATCATGTACAGCCGATAACCTCCACCCCGCGTACAACGATCATACCACCGATAGAATCGTTCGAGAACGTTTTCGAAACGACGGACGACTCATTCGCAACAAAGGTTCAACATCGGTTGCAAACGTCGGAAGGTCGAGAGGCGTTGCGAGCCAGCTTGGGCCCGCTGGGACGAAAATACGTCGAGGCTGTCATGAGCGGAGCGCGAGGAAAAGAGAACGGTATAGATCGCGTGTACGGCATTTATCTACACAAGGACGGACTGATGTTTGGCAATAAACGTTTCGACGTGGATGACGCGGACAACAAAATTATCGACGGCGTACGATACGCCGGTACACCCGGTCTTTATGAGTTGATTTTCAAGAGAATTCCCGACGATCTCCTCTACATGGAAGACGATATGCACAAGGTACCTCACGCAATGATATTGAACGACAACGCGATCGATTACGTGCACTGGGACGATCTCAACGAGCTGGTGGATCGTCTACGGTTGCTCGACGCTTTGCACCGAGCGGGCAACAACGCTCACGACAACGAGATACAGTCGTTCCTCGAAGAACTTCGCGAAGCCGGTCTTATTATAAATTAAATCGCGTATCGACGAAACGAGTCAGTCGAGTGATGTCAGCGAGAAACAATACATTTTTTTTTTCATGTATCCTGTGTATTACGCATCGAATCATGAACAAGAGATCCGGTGAGGAGAAAAAAGTTAGCTCCGAGAGACGTCGTCTCGTCGAGGAATTGCACGCTCCGGCGAGAAGAAATTTTTCGCGAAGGCGCGTCATAGTCCGAGGATACGACGATCTGTGGCAGGCTGATATCGTCGAGATGCGTCCGAGCTACAATAGAGGCCGTCACTACATACTCACCGTCATCGACGTATTGAGCAAGTACGCGTGGGCCGTATCGCAAGAGCAAAGGGGGAAGCGAGAGGACTGACGCTATCGCTGAGATAATTCGAGAGAGTGGAAGATGTCCGAAAAATTTGCAAACAGATATGGGGAAGGAGTTTCACAACGCCGATGTCCAGAAAATCTTGAAAAAACACAACGTTAATCACTATTTCACGTATTCGACGTTGAAAGCGTCTGGTTCAATCGCACGCTCAAGAACGACATGTGGAAGATGTTTACGCTCAACGGCAATTACAAGTGGGTCGACGAACTGTCGCGTCTCGTGTCAGATTACAACGCGCGCAAGCATCGCACTATCGGCATGCGACCCGCCAACGTAATTCCTGCGATCGCTGAAAGACTCTTGGGCACGATGTACAGCGCGATAAAGATCGCGGGTTCGGCGAAATTCAAAGTTGGCGATTCGGTACGCGTGAGCAAGTACAAGACAATTTTTGAGAAGGGTTACACGCCCAATTGGACCACCGAGGTGTTTACAATCATTAAAGTGCAGCGTACCAATCCTGTAATCTATCTACTTGAGGACTATCGCGGAAAATCCATCACTGGAGCGTTCTACGAGCACTAGTTGCATCGCGCTACACATCCGGATGTGTTTCTCGTGAAGAAAGTAGGAAGGGAGAGAAGGTGTATGTCAAGTGGCTGGGATTCGATGGATCGCACAATTCATGGATACATATTATAAAAACAATGTCATTTAAAAAAAAATTTTTTTTTTAATTCATATTTTTTTATACATATAATAAATATATCAATATAAAT